TTGCAAATGGCATGGCTATTTTCTTTGTAAATCCACAATTTTCAGTTAACTATTAAGTCTGTATCTATTACTCTGAAAAAAATCAATGGGCCTGTCTGATTCGAAGTAGGTGACACCCAATTAGCTCAACAACTATATATACAAACAGTGTAAATAAGGATCATACATAATCATCTTTAGATTTGACTATGTCCCAGGAATCCAATGAAGAAAGCAAATATGAAAACACAAGCCTAAAAAACTCACTTTTGTGTTATTGAGTAATTGATTTATCTTAGCTTTCAAAGTAGATAAAATCAACACTTCTAAAGACTTGTCTTTAACCCAGGATTTCTTTTATTAAAGTGTACAATCTCGAGTGCATGCCTGAAAGATAATAGTTTGTTCCTAATAAAAGAGAGCCTGGATTCCACAATGTCTTTGCCAGAAGCATCATTCCCTGAAGCATACAGCTAACTGCATCTCCTGCTGTACCTGTAACAATTTAATTGTATAAGTCAGCCTAGTCAAGCATCTCTAGCTCATGACTAGGAGACATGAAATTCATTGTCATTATTGTCCCTGTCATCTTGGATCATTATATCCTACTGCAGAATTTTCCTCACTTCAGTGCATTTTTACCTCCGGAGCCAGGGATTATAGCTGAGGTTGGGGTGGGGGCAGTACCGTGAACTACATTTACCTCAGGGGAGCCAGAGATTAAATTGGCTTTGCTCTCTCATGAGCTGAATTCATCTATTTGTATGCTATGAGTTTTAGATTGGAATAAAAATGAATATTCTAGTGAATGCTGGGCTTTAATTCCCCCTTTGAAACATGAATGGAACCAACTTTTATTTACATTAGAAAGCCAAGGTAATTTCTCATAGGTCACTATTTTCATATGTGCATAAGAAATACAGGCATCATCGGGTATGAAGTAACAGACATTTCTCTGTCAATGTCTTGACTGGCAGAAAGAAGAATTTAAAGCTATAATTTTGTTCTCCACCTTCATTTTATAGAGGCTTAATAGGGATATTTAATGGTTTTAAATATTTAATGATTTTTAATTATATATCATTTTCTGTGCACTGGATTAGATGAATGAAGTCCAACTAGAATGGCACCAAAGATCCACTGTAAGAACTGGCAGATTGAAGAAGAGTTGGTAGACGACCACAAAATAAACTCCTAAAGAAACTAGCTACCTCAACCCCATGCAAGCTGATTCACATGATCTCACAGCCTACCAAGTCACCCAAGCTTATGTCTTAAACACTTCCTGCCAACTTGGAAGAACGTGCCTGCCCTCTCTACTTGGAATCATCAGTGGTAATGGCCATGGTTAGGTGGGTCTGCACAACAAAGGGGCAAAGGACCAGACAGAAAACACCAGGACATGCAGTCAGAAGGCTGTGAGTTGACTCTGTCTTCTCTAACATAACGTAAGAAAATACAACTGGAGGAAAAACATGGCATGTCACTTCATAACTTACATTTCATATGCATTCTGAGAAAATTAACTTGACTCTACATTTTAAAAGATGGTAGTTATTCCTCCATATATGTCAGCTTGTTTTAAACCAGTTAATAATAAAGTGTGGCAATGGAACAAATTTCTGCCATACAAAGAATAGTCACAATAATTACTATGCCAAAAAGTATGGAGAGTTTATTCCATTATCTTTATGAATTTTTGTGGGGAAATATTTTGCCTTAATCAAATGCAACAGCAATCAGAATTTATTTGGGATGAGCATGTGCTTTGGAGTAATTAAAAAAATCTTTTGATAATTGTACATTTTGTACTTCAAAGAGAACATCTTACAGCCCTAACATCTCTATGTTGAAAGGATATTAAATTGTTGTCTAAACCCCCGGAGCAAGTTCATGGCAATGTCTACTGCTCTGTCTCACTATATTTCTACACCATTATATTTCACTTTACACGGGAGCTGAAATAACTGTATAATAATTACTAATATGAGTTAGTAAAGGCCAGGGATTTAGCTCAGTGGTTCCACTGCCTGCCCAAGCTCAAGAACCCAAGTTTGATCCCCAGTACCAAAAAGAGTTAATAAAACTTCAGTTAGCAAAACTTCCGGTAACATTTAAAAGTTCATTTGATTACTTATACAGACATTTTAATCAGAATCAAGTTTTCCCTAGGTGGGAATTATAAAAATTATTTCTGCTTATTTTATAATGGGTAATGTTTTATGAACGTAAGTATTTTTGAAAGTTAATTCAAGTACCTGAATGCATTGTTAAACCATTTGGATAACTGTTACTCATTCTCCTAATGGTTATTTATGAATAGTACATTTTTTCCTATTAAGCAAGGTTTATTTCATAAATTACAATGTTTACACAATGGGCTTAAAATGGTTAATGACATTTAGGTAATTTTTCTCTCTGAACTACTTTGAAATATATTTCTGGTCAAGGAGGAAGGCATTTCCCTTTTTCCGAACATGTATTAATTGCATTTAATTCCTCTACCCTTATGTTCTTCTCCACCTTATTTCTATGCTGGTTTTTAATTTGCTCATCACACCATACCACATAAAACACAAGTTGCCTCAATCTGTGAATACAATGGTGAAACCAGAGAACTATACTGTTTCACATTGTTGTTCTGACTCACCTCAAGCATGACATAGCAAGGCCAATACCATTTCAGAACAATGTGAAAAAGCACATAACTTATGTCAAATGACCAGAACAGAATTATTTTTACTCCTTCAGTTTAAGATTTAAGATTTTACAACCAATTTCCAAACAGCAATTTGAAATTATTTTTATATAATCTTCACTAAACAATTGTTTGTTTTTTTGTTTGTTTGTTTGTTTGGTACCAGGGATCGAACTCGGGTCCTTGCACTTGCGCAGCAGGTGGCGAAACCACTGAGCTAAATCCCCGGCCCAGTTTATTTTTTTTATTTTTGTATTTTTTTTGGTACTGGGGATCAAACTTGGGACCTTGCGCTTGCGAGGCAGGCGCCAGAACCACTGAGCTAAATCCCTGGCATAATTTTTTTTTTTTTTGGTACCAGGAATCGAACTCTGAACCTTGTGCTTACGAGTCAGGCACCGGAACCACTGAGCTAAATCCCCGGCCCTTAAAAATCAATTCTGTAAAGAAATTCTTCTTCCTCTTAATTTTACTACAATATTCCTTCTGCATTGAAAAATATAAATTTCCCTTGGTTTCTTTATGTAGAATCAAAAGACAATCACAAATTGAGATATGATATCCACTAATATTCTTCATTAGGCAAATCATATATGCAAAAGTTAATGAATAAAATTGATGCCTGACATATTAAATGATATAAAAATGAGTAAAAATTTGAAGAGTACTGTATGTGCAGAAAGGATGAGTAAAACGAGGCAAATGCCACAAACATTTCCATGTTGAGATGGGCAGGATGCTATTTACAGAATGCCTTCTTACTTCTCCTGGACCAAAAAGCTCTTTACTATAATCACCCAATAAGCTACAATGGATTAACATTACAGGTCTGGTGTAGAAAAGCAAATTCACCGTGAAGGTTGTCCTTTAACATGCAGGCTTAATCAAGGACACCAAAAAAAGTAGTTAAGTGGCCACCCTGTGGTGTTTAGATGCTGCAAGGCACTACAAACTGTTAATTTTCTAGCTTTTACTGTTTGTCTAAGACCCCTAACATTTTTCTAACATTGTTGCTCCTAAGACATTTTCTAGAGTTTGGTCCCCATTGCCCCTTCTGCACATATATGCTTTGCATTTATGTATGAAAGCCTGGCTGACAAACAGCTGAATTGACTCAGAAATGAAATACTGGAAAGAAAAAAAGGTAAGGGTAGCCTTGAGGACATCCCATAATCTGAAGTATAAATATCAAAGGCTCCTCAAACAGTAACAAAATTTCTTCATGCTAAGACAGTGGTGGTGAACCTCTGGCACATGTGACGCAGCCAGGTATATATTATCATTGAAAGCTCTAAAAGAGTTACCATCACTGTGCTAAGACTTTAACACCAAATATAAAAGACCACATAATGGAGGTGGAGGTGAGATATACAGCCTAAGATGTCCTTTGTCGTAAAATTTCTAAGACCTTCTGAGACAGTTGCTTGTCTCTAGCCATTTCCTTACAAATGACTATCTGTGGATCCTTAGTAAAACTGCACAAATGCTTTACCTGTTTTTCTTTGTATGGTCTTGTAACCTACCTGGAGGCACATTAAGTGTGTTTTTTTTTTTTTGGTACCTGGGATCGAACTTGGACCTTGCACTTGCAAGGCAGGCGCTGGAACCACTGAGCTAAATCCCCGGCCCGGTACACTAAGTGTTTAGTTCCTCCTAATGAAAGTGAACAAAATTACATTACATACAAAAAAGAATTCACCTTTAACACAAGGTAAATGGACACTAGGTAATGTCACTGTTGGAAAACATCTGACAGCAATAACATAAGCAATAAAACCTGAGGGTTTGGTTTAACAATGCTGTTCATCTACCTTTCATCACATAAATTATACATTCAAGAATGTGTCCTATGCAAAATACAAACATGTCAATTACAGCCCAAGGGGCATTTTTCCCTAGGTTTATAACCCCTTGAAAATAGAGGTTTCGCCTACAGAACCTAACAGATCCTCAGCTGCTTTCACCACTGTAATATATTCATAAGGCAAGTATTCAGTGGCAAAATAAAACAAATTAAATGGCAAATGGGTGGGGCCCAAATTCATAACAATGAAACATAGTCCAAATCAACCATGAGACCTAAGTAGAAATTAAAGAAGGAAAAGAATATATAAAACAATATTAGAAACAAAACGCTATGGGTAGTTTTTCAGCCAGTACTAAAGAAAATGGTGAATCTGTACGTGTGTGTGTGTTTGTGTGTGTATTTGAATGTTTTGTAAGATTAGCATTGAAATTAAAAATGCAAAACTATTTCATTAGAGGTCATAGTATATTCTAAGGTGTTATAGAGAGAAAATAATGTGTGAAAAAAATCACATACCATCATAGTAGACAATTGCTCCTACCAGTCTGTCTTTTTGGAGCATGGGGAAATGTTCCAGAGCTCTCGATTTGCTGAGGACATAACTGCTCTTCAGGCAATTACTTCCAGCAACCAGATCATACAGCTTAATTCCTACCCAGTAGTAAGGTAGCTGCCACCACCTACAGCATAAATAGGGGGAACAGTTTCTTTAGAAATAGAGTATAACATTATAGAATGATACCTTAAACTACAAGAAACTTTTCACTATGGAAAGCAAAGCATACCTAAAAGAGGACTGAAAAAGAAACAGCCCTGTATAACTGTTTTTGACACCAGATCTAGTGGGGTACATAAGAAAATGAATCTCCTCTAAGGCTCTCACCCTGGCTGCATATTTGAATTCTTGGGGAAACATTAAAAATAAACACTGATGCCTGGACCTCACATAAGCAGAGGCTGATTTAACCAGAGTAGGATGAGGGCCTGGGGTTTTGTAATGTGCACCCAGGTCTGAGAATCACCGCTTTAAGAGGTCTTATGCAATCTGTGGCAAAACAGGGACAAAATTATAAAATTTGTTTCAAAACACCACAATACTCATGTGGCTAAATGTTATAAAATCCACTTCACATTATTGTACCTGTATTCCAACTTAAGGGAACCTCATGAGTAGCTTTAACCACATTAGGAAATTGGGTTTCATAATTTAACATCTAGACAAATTTCAGTTTTAGTCAACTTGGATACTTAAAATGACCCAAAATAGTTTGAGTTTTCATTTGCTGTGTTGCAGGTTCAAATTTTACAGCATGATTCTTTTTGGGTTTCTACATTGCTGGCCCTCCTGTTCCTCGGTACAAATGCAGCTGTTCATCATATATACACTAAGAAACTAGAATGAGGCATTACTAATTATAAATACAGAACATAATCTCCTTTGCCTTCAAGATCTGGTCCTTAGAGATAGTTCCATAGAGAGTATTTAAGAAAATCCACACTTTTAAATGCACCAATGGAAATGTTTGGAAAGGATTAAAGATTAGGGCTAATTAAAACCACATTAAGAAATACACATTGAGGAATTATTTCTATTAAAACTGTGTTGTTCCATTGACCTCAGGTGATCAAATAGGAGAAAAGTGATATCAAAGGCTTACTTGTAAACTGGAAGCATTATAGGCAGTGGGGCTGATAAATGGGGAGCAATTTCTAATAGGTTGGCACGCTCATGAAGGGCTTCTTTTACCATCCTATACTGAAAATCAAAACAGAGAAAATTAGTTTGGCAGTAACATATCATAATATTTTCAAATGGCAAATAGACACCCTGCCAACTGATTGATACACAGAAACCTTCTACCTCTTAGTAAGGATAGCTCCCTCCTAATCAAATTTCTAATAATACATCATGCTGTCAACCTCAAAGATTTTTTAGAAACCGTAACTGTATTTGCATAGGAGAAAAACATGCTGTCAGAGTAGCCAGGTGTAAGATATTTTCCTGACTTGAGTTCCAAGATTATTGTAACCATTTATCTTGCATTCTCTGTAATGCTCCCCTTTCTCAATTCCTCATAATATTTTCTCCAGGTAAGAAATACAGATTGTTCAAATTCATGCTAAAAGTTTCCTTCTTGCCTTCACTAGACTTAGAAAAGATGATGTGTAGCAGTTGCACAGTGTTTTAGATTATTTTTAAAAAGCATTAGTCTTAACCCATGTGATCCTCTTTATGACTCTCTAAAGAACTAGTATTGTTATTATTGTTGTTGTTATTATTATTATACTAATTTTATAAATGAGACCACTAAGGTTCATAGATATTGAATAAATAATCCAGAGCACATCATAAGTTAGCTGATTCTAAATTGTATCTATGATATTTTCTTTGTATCCATCATGATGCCAAAGAGAAACATAAGAAAAGGGAACAGATTCAAAACTGACTTGTCAAGAAAAAAAGGGGAGACAGATTCAAAACTTGACAATGTCAAGTCAGTGCTGCTGTGCTTTTCATGTATTTGAAAAGCAGATAGGGAATGCAGCTGATCTCTTTACCCCTCTGGGAAATGTCATCTTCCACACTGCCTTGGAAGTTTTCAAATGGTGGCAGACTGGACACAATAAAGTGTGACACAGGAAAAGCATGACTCAGATCCTCTTTTCCCCAACAATATGTCAGTGACAATATGAGGGTGTGATTGCAGTCATAGTTAAGAGGATCAATTTGGCACTCCCTCTTCACTGCAACACAGCTCCCCTGAAACTGCTGTAAAGTAGCAATTTGGTGGCCACTGGCAAAAAGCCAATCATAATTGTCAAAGGGTAGCACATCCAAAAGTGATTTTGTAAATCTGCTACTCTGGAATGCCTGTGTAGAGAAAGCCCTGATTACCCATAAACATAATACTACAGGAAAGAACTGACACACCTCTCCTGAAAGATATTCCAGCAGCATACACAAAATAAGTATTTCCAAGAGGAAGAAATGTTAAAAGTCATTTTTAAACACCCTGATTTAATTGGGTAGAAAAAGCATAGTTGCAATTTTTGTTTAACAACCAGCATACACAATTACCTGCTCAATATCCAACTTCATGATGGCCTTCTGAAGATATCTCACACCACCATGGATCAATTTAGTGCTTCGGCTGCTGGTCCCTGATGAGAAATCATCTCTTTCTACAAGGGCTGTTTTTAGTCCTGTGTAACCAGAAAACCAAATTAACTTCTTAAATTACACAATTTGTATGTAATTCATTAAAGGCACTTCTCCAGGGTAGAGACAATCACAAGAAAAATTAGTCTGAACATGGATAAATTTGTATTCAAAGTGCAGCACACTGTCTATATTATAATGAAGAGATTTTAGACTCTTCCTGGGGGAAAAGTCAAGCCAGAACTAGAAGCATATTAAACTGCGAATGAATCACGGCTAGAAAATATTACAGTACAATTTAGTGGTAATAACATACTTTGGTGTGTTTAGGGGGTCAAAAGAGAGGCTGGCACCCATCTTTCCCAAGTAGAGTTCACTGAGTATCATCACGAAGCCTTCTGAAATACACATTCATCTCTCCCTACAACAGTCCAGTCCTGTTCCAGTCCCTCATCTCTGACCTGCTCTCATGCACTTCTGGTAAGTCTAGATTAGACCTCCGTTGTGCACTAATTCATATTTGGAAATGTGTCTGGGGCGGTGATTACAGCGGGTACAGAATGGGGAAGATATCCAAGATATCAAATGAAAAAAAATGACTCTAATATTGAGGAGTTTACAGGATAATTTAAAACATTTGAACATATGACAATACTTTAGAATTTATAAGGAAATATAAATGCCAAGACAAATGAATACAATGCAGAATATCCATGGGAAAGGAAACAAAATATCCTGGAATAACTCAGGCTGTGCCAAGATAGGTCAATTCTATGAGTCACCCTGACTCCTGTACTTGCAGGCTGCTATAAATCTCTTCAGGGGAAAATTAGTTCTGTTTTGTTGTTTTCCTGCAGATATACCCTGCTTCATCAGTACTGGACAAGACCAGCAGTACTACAAATGTTACACGCTGGCTGAGAAACGGAAGTCAAAACCTCACTATGTCCACAGTACACATCAACACTAAGTCAAGAGGAATTTCCACAGCTGACATATTTTGGGGGGATGAGAGAATACCATGGAGCCAGGCATAGTGATACATACCTGTAATCCCAGCACTCTGGAGGCTAAGGGAGGAGGATCACCATGAGTTCGAGGGCCAGCCTGAGCTATGTAGTGAGATCCCCTTGTCTCAAAAAACAAAAACAACAACAAAAAAAATGGGCCAGGGATTTAGCTCAGTGGTACCGCCACCTGCCTCGCAAGCGCAAGGTCCCGAGTTCAATCCCCAATATCAAAAAAAAAAAAAAAAAAGGCTATCATGGAAGTCAATTACAAAGAGAATATGATACTAGCACAGTTTAGGCTCATAAAGCTCAAAAAGAAGAACTTATGCATGCATTCAATTCTCAGCCATTTATTACATTTAATATCAAAGGGTCCTTTCTATCAAGAAAAGTTTAAATACCATACCCAAATGTCATCATAAAATCAGGGCCATTCTCTTGACTTAAAGGGAGAAAATATTTGGAAGCTATGGAAAGAAAAGTAGAAAATTTTGATTCAAGGTCAAAAACTGCTAATGCCCTATCTAACTAGTAATATAGTACAGAAATTATAGGTATCAGAGACCCAGCTGACTCTTTTTAAGCAAGTATGCCAGAGAAAGTTCTCTAACATTCTCTAAACATGAGAAACCCTTAGTAAACTTAGTATTAGATGCATTAAAGACACAGAAAAAGATAGCAAATAAGTACAAAAAATGAATACTGAGAGTGAAAGTGCTGATGGTTGTGATGAATTAGACATAGACCAGGCTGACGTGTAACTACCAACTCAAAAGAGGCAAATAAAGTGCAGCAGGGGCCACATTTGAGAATATCGAGGACTTTCATCTTCCTCTACAAGTTGAATTCAAGACATAAATCCCAAGTTGCACATAGACAAACGACATCTGCAAATCTCTTAAGAACATACTATTTGTCATTATTTGCAGATGACATGATACTCTATATAGAAGACCCCAAGAACTCCACCAAAAGTCTTCTAGACTTAATAACCAAATTCAGTCAAG